ATCTATCATATGGGGGGAAACTCAAATAAGTTCATATCTCTTTGGTGCCGGCAGTTCTGGGTTCTGGTTCCATCACTCTCCAGTTCTTCACCAAGCGACGGAAGACATCTTAATCTCTCCAAGAGCCCCCTCGTAACTAAAAACGCACTAGCTATCCCTAGCTTATTCTAGCTGCACTGATGGGATGGAGCACATCCTGTGAGGTATATAAGTGCTCCTTATAATGGGTCGTCTATATTGTCTTGGGCACACACTCCAATTCCCCTATATAAATATGTTTGAGGACAAAACTCACGAAGTGGGGCACAATGGACACTGTTTATAATTGCCCTTGGCTCAATGTTTGAGCATATGCCATTATATAACTACTCATGATATAAAAACTGCACAGGCTGACTGTATCTTGCCCCTGCTTCCTCAACCCATTGGACAGCCCGTACCAAGCATCTCAAGCAAGCCCTTACGTTCTGTGAGGCTTAGCTTCTTGGCGAACAGGGGAATCTCCTTAGCATCCGACGTGAGGATACCGTCCTTTCCCCTTGTTGACTGCCTTCTTTGGCATTCTCGTCTGTCATGAAGCCGTGAATTGGTTGCAGCGTGACTGCCGCACAAAAAGTAGACGCCCAAGCTTTGAAAAGAGCACTTATTGATGTTTTGAGAGCGTTCCCAGCTCTTTGTCAAAAGGCCAGCAAGCAATTCCTCAATCAGTAAATGGACTCTGACGAACACATCACATGAGACACAAAAGCTATCCCTGGGAAAACAATTGTCCTCCACCCCTGTTGGAGTGAGTCAGAATGTGTTTCCTTGGGAAATGTTGCAAAATAAGGAACATATTGTTGAAGGGATTCCAAGGGGACTATAAACTAAACAAGTACCTTAGATGTCATATATATGGACATCGTCTTCTGCTTCAAGCCTTTTTCCTGAGAGGCTGAATGGGCAACAAACCCACAAGTCCTGTGGTCGGCAATGATATGCCAAGTCTGACGTCTGTACTGGGTGGCAGGGAAAAACCCTAGCCTTTCTTCCAATGTTCATCCTTCTTTCTCAGTGTCTCTCTCCCAGTCTTGGGGAAGCGTCTCCGGCCAACCCACCGGGCCATTGGACTGTAGCTGTAGCTTCGTTGGAGTGTACATTCCAAGCTTCAACACACGGGCTCTTGGTTCAACAAAGCCAAGTAAACACATCTCCGGCACCGCCCTGAAACACCCCCTAGAAGAAGGAACATAAACCACATTGGTTCGGGGGACTCAATTGAACACAAGACCACTACAGTAAATGGCCGAATTGGTCTACGGATGTCTACGGCAGCCGGCTGATGAGAAATGTTGATTGGCCAGTGTCCCTTAAAGGATCGACGCCCTGGCGTTCTGCCAATACATTAAGCTGGACCACAAACAAAGCGATACATACTGCACCACTCTGAAGCAAAGAAAGTTATCCAAAACCATCCCAAGAAGTTGGATCGGTAGACCATTGGGTGGTTCATGGTGACTCATTTTGACAGTGATCCCCTGACATTTGCAGGTCAGTATGACTTATCGGCGTCAAAAAACGCCCGACCAAAGCACTGGTCTTCTCTTATCGGTCCAGGCAGCGTATTGACCATTGGTGATCGGTTCCACTTGCACATCTCCCAAAAGTTCCACGGCAGGCCTTTGGCCCAAGCCAATCTCACCTGGTTGATGCAGTCTCGCTGATCTGGTGGAATCGCTGGATGTTCCGAATACGTTACCAACCCCAGGGGTTTTCAGGTTCCATCTGGCATCCTGTCCAGGGTGTATCCTCTCCAGGATCCACATTGAGCCAACCCTTGAGAACCCACTGCATCTGGTTTGGTGGCTGAACCTTGCCTCAAACAGGCTCCCGGTGTCCAAGGTCCGTGGGACGAGCTGGGAACCTGTGAGGTGGGACGAGCTGGGTCTTCTTCCGGGTCCGTCATTGAGGTCATCAACTCAGAAACCCAAGGCGTTCTGTGTCTGATCAGCGGGCCCTACGAGGGGGGCCCTTGTGACCCAACGCTGCCGTCGTGCTGGGACGTCTATCAGTCTATCAACTGTAGTAATGTGCAGCAGCTCAGCTGTACACCATCAGCTGTCTATCAACGGTACTGTGCCAAGCCACCTTCCAGCTGAGCTGTGGGGCAAGGCGTGGGGCAACCACCGAGGATCTGCCAACAAGAACCGAGGCACCGGGGGCACTCACCCGATCTCCAGGCGGGCGCCACAGTGGCGCCCGCGCTGGACTGAGTCTGATTGTTGTGGATCTTTTGGGGGTAACAACTCACACATACTCAGCACGAATTCAACATAATTCTAATTCAACGATTTTCGTTCAAAACATCCACTCCAAGCCAATAGAATGTCTTGAGCCAAAGCAGATTGAAATCCTCCTTTCACTCAGGAACTGATGGCCAAATCCCAATCCAGATTGCAATATCCAGGTCACTGCAAGCCTTCACCAAATCATGAGCAATGGGCTCACTCACCACTGAGTCGAAGGCATAGGCCGGATGGGAGCGGATGAAGCCTGGATAGGCTGGGCATGGCTGGGCTGACCGACTGGCAGGGGAAGCTCCTCAGGCCAAAGCGTTGGGACTTCTGGGCCTTTGCGCTTTTTGGTCACTCTGAGCCCCTAGGCCTCCAGTCGTACCTTCTGAGAAGGTGGGACTGAGGTGGGTTCGGAGGGTCCAGTCATACCTTCTGAGTTCTCACATCCACCGTACAGTTCACTCACGGTGGGAGCATCCACTGTGCGGTTCACTAGCATTTTGAGAAAAACCGTGCAGTGGATGTGAGAACACACCCATCTGTCATGTTGTTCAGAGTTGTGAAAAGCGACCTGTGCAGAACCCCAGCGGCCCTAGCGCATCTGGTCAAAGAATCCAGGCTTTTTCAAGCTGACGCAACAACCCTCGCCTTGGTCCACACCACTGCTCCTTCTACTTCACCCAGCCGCTCCTTCCACCTCACCTCACCGCCCCGCTAATGTCGGTGGCCACGTCTCTAATCCGAGCCACTCCGCATCCAGGTGGCCGGCGTTGGCAGCTCGCCAGAGGCTCTCCGTTGGATGAACTTCAAATATCTGCAGCCGGTCTGCGGGGTCTTTTTGCCGTGGGTCTTTCGCCGTTTCTTCCGGGCACGGATGGACGGATGGGATGGATAGAAAGTCCGAGAAAGCCTGCAAAAACACTGGTCTCCGGGAGTTGTGTGAGGGGGAGAACTTGGGGAACTCTTTGTGGCTTTAGGCTGTTGGTTTGCATCCTTCAGAAGTCCATCTTGCGGGGGGGTGGATTGGAGCATGAGCTATGAATTCCAGGAGGGTCCGGCTCCGCAAAGGTCCGTTCCTATTCAGGGTCCATGCTCATGTGTGGGGAAATCTGGGCAAGGGTCCGGCTCAGCCAGGATGCCACACATAAGACACAATCAAATACAAAATACCTGACAATCTGGTCGGCAACTAAACCAATAATTTTAATTTGTTCTGTTCATTTTATCTCTATCTTCTAGTTAGAGAATGTTTATTCCATTACACGATTTCCTTTAATATGCAGGCTGTAATCTTTTCATGAATAAAACCAAAGCTTCCGTAAATTGAACCTTTCTTGGTCCCGTGAAAAGGAGATGGAAACAACAACCATCACTCTGTCCAAACATGAGATCCCCAAGTTCAAAAGTCTGTGCTTCGACATCTGCCTGAGTGTGTTCAAAAAAAATAACAAAACAGCTCACACATGACATCCCTACCAGGCAGTGCAAAAAGCCAAGCGGCTGGTCCAATCGCATGAAAGAGCTCTCATCACAGCCAATGTGTTTCAAGTAAGCGTAACCTGAGCCCACTTGAGCACCCACACCACCCCACAGTCGGGAAACTCGCAAATGTGTGGTCCTCAACCCTTTGGCATTTCTGTATATATATATATATATAATGAGAAGGGTAATGGCTCTCTTTCAACCAGAAGCACCAACACCAGGCGGGAAGTTTCAGGGCTTAGGACCTGTACACACTGGCAAGATTATAGACATAGGAATTTGGAGGCAAACACTTTAATAGAATTTGACACTAGCAGGTCCTCCACCATCCCAAGTGGGCATGGAACTCCCTACGTGCTGTAAATGCTTTGCATGGAAGAAAAGTGCCGGTGCAACCTCTTGTTGCTTGGTGGGGTTCCCAACTACCAAAAAGGACCTCTTGGGAGACCGGTCTCGTCTGACGCTTTCTGGTTAAGCCTTAAACGATATCACTTCGACCGCATTTGCCTGAAAAGTCCTTGTTCCCTACCCCAATGGAGGTCTCTCGGTTGATTCACACTCTGTCTCGGGACCCCGAAACCCTCTGGACATCGCCAGCACCAGGACATCTTCATACATCGTCGGTTTCCCTTCACGCTGGCCAGGCAACACAAGGGGATGAGACCGGGAAATCCCGCGCCATTGCCGTTCCTCAGTGGATGAAACAGCTTCGTAACTTCATACCTGGTATGCATCCAGCCTTAGGGGTCTCCAATCACAGCTTGGATGGTTTGGGTGGGGTTAGTGGATGTTCATGGATGTCCCATATCCGAAATCAACCTCATCAACCATTCTGAATATTCTCCTGTCTTCATCCGAGACCACGATGGATGCTTTCGGACTGGCTGACTTGAAAAAACATAGCAACGCTCACCATTTTCAAACCTCCACGTCACATGACCTTAAGACTGTAAAAAACGATTCTCACCCCAGGTCTGCAACCCACAAGACTGCTTCCCCACAAGTCTTTGATGCAGTACATGGGGTCCACCAAACCACGCCAGGTGTGACAAAAAACATCCCATGACGACTTGAACTCTCATGGTGATCGTCCAGGTCTCCCATGACTTGTGCCACTACCAATTACACTCCTAGCTATTGTCTCTCTCATGGCGCCAGTCGGTAGCCTGAAAGGTTCCCCAAGAGTTCTCCTGCAAAACTAACTTGGCCTGGAAACTATCATTGAGCCAATAAGATTAAAGTGACTCACCTGCATTCTGCAAAAGAGGTACACAATTCAACAAAGGTGTAAGGCGTGTAAGGATTATAGTACGACATAGTTTCACCTGCCCCGGACTCCAAGTCGTGTAGTTTGAAGCTCTCAGGTCTGATGACGTGGTCGAGTCTCATGATCTCATCCATGGACATCTCACACACCTCATCCTCCTCGCTCTCCACGCTCTTTCGGAACCAGAACTTCTGCGTCCTCGCGACGTGTTCGCGCCATGCAGCGTCGCCCAGCACGACCACCCGGTCTCAGCAGGATAACAAGTGAAAGGTGCTCGTCTTTGGGTTTAGTGATGCACGACCGCACTGAAAGTAGGGGGCATCCTCCCAAAACAAAACAGAATTGTCATGAACACATGTATACACTGGAATTACATATCCAAACACCATGTACAGTATTAGAACACTGTCTTGGAAACGTTCCAGGATCCTAACATGGAACCTAAGGATCGGAGCACTTCCTGCCCCGCCACCTACGTAATTAGGTAGTCTCCAGGTGTTTCTCATGTGTGTTTCACCAAAATTGATCCAGATATAGAGAAAACTGGGTCATTTCGGTGACACTGGAGACTGAGAAACTGACATTCCTCATTGTTGTCTGTTCCTCATGTTCATTCTCAAGTGATGCCTGGTGCTTTTCTTGTTTTCTGCTCCATCACTTGTTGAAAAGACCTGCCGCACGACGAACAGGACGGATCCCGGTTCTCGGTTCTGTACCGAACCGCTCCTGACGGCGTCTTCCGTGTGGGCTCTGGCCATGTTCGCGTCGACCAAAGAGAGAGCTGTGAGGAAATCCAGGTTGAAGACCACAATGGCGCGTGCGATGAGCACCTGGGATTTTCTGGGATCATCTTGACTCAGATGGTCTGTAGGAAGATGGGCTCCGAAGAGAGCGGGAGACTGCAATGCTCAGGTTCGAGGCCGGTCAAGTGAAAGAGCTCATCCTAGCCCAAAGAGCTCATCCGTGCCCGACAGGTTGAAAAAGAGGAGACCTCACTTTGATCCGCAGGTCTGTTCATTTCTTTCCTTTTGGGATCCAGTTTCCACAGCGAAAGAGGGAGAGCATAAGTGCAGCATAAGGCATAAGTGAACTTGGGTTGGGGGCCGTGGTACTTGCTGGACTCCAGCTTTGTTGTTTCTTCAATCCGAAACTCCCTCGATGAATCTCAGAGAAGAACCTTTGTGGTAAGCTGGAAGCTGTCTTGTTGTTGGAGCATATGACAGAAAGCATCTCTGTCTCTGTTTCTGACTGCCTGAAAATCAACCTACCCCTCGCAGCACACCCGGCAGCACCCCTCACTCCTTTCTTCTTGGCACCATGAAAGCGGTGAAGGCGGCATTTTCCTGGGGGCGATGGTGGGCCATGTTGGGGCTTAAAACCACAGCTATGAAGCCTTCCAACTCAATGGAGAAACAACCTCTGTCTTCCAACTTTTCTGGACCGTCTTCTAACTGGTTCTAGATTTAGAACTTTGTTGGCATCACCCCACTTTTGACAAGTTGAGGGAACATTGCATAGAAGGAAGTTTCGTTTCATCTGGCATTGATTTCATGACATACGGCTGTTGAGATTTATGGTGGTGCTTAGAGGAGATATGAGGACATGTTTTGGTTGCTTAGAGGAGGAGATATGAGGACATGTCTTGATTTCAGTGTCATGGCTCAAGCCACCACTAGATCTTGCAGCCTCGCTCCCTCACTGCGTCCGTGCCTTATTTTCCGAGAGCGCTCTCAGACCTTCTCAGGCCTTCTTCAAACGGTTACCCCAAGCTGAATGTATTCAGCAGATCACACCATCTCGCATATAGTGCTCTAAGGATCTTTCAATCCACACACTATTGCCCAGTGTGGCTTTTCCCACCAAAAAGTTCCCAACCTACACAAGACGGATGCACTGGTTCGGTTTAACCTGCACCCCTGCCAAACTTGAGCGAGGAAAATAAAGCGGCTTACGAGCTGTGAGCTCGTTGTCAGCTTGGATATAGGCAATGCGCCAATGTCGTGAGAGAGCCCTGGAAGCCTCCAATGCCTACATAGAGGTGACAAGAGAAATTCCCAATTAAAAAACACTAGATTCCTACTGTCATGCTAAACAGTGTGTTGACCTTCAAATACTTGTCCTTTGAAGCTTTCAATAAATGTTGAAGGCGCCTCATTGTTGAAGGCGCTGGCAATGTTGGCCCATTTCAGGTTGGAGGTCATAGGAGAAAACGACATATACATCCGCTTTTCCTTGGGACGAATATCCCATTCATCCACAGCATTCCCATCATCACCTAGGATTGGGCAGGGGAGACCAGTTTAGGATTGGGCAGGGGAGGCAATAATATAGTATAATAGTATACTATACTCTGTATTCCATGCACTTGAGCTGCAACAAAGGATTGACTAGACAGTCAAAGCACCTTCCATTGCGCTTTTCTTCGACAAGTTGTGGCAGCAAACAGTGACATCGATGATCTCGGTCTCTTCAAACTCTTTGAGCAAACACCTGAGGGTGGTGGGCTCAGAATCTTTCACACCCTTTCCATTTTCAATCTCCAGGATAACCATCTCAGTGTCCTTTTTGACATCGAAGCAAACCACATTCTGCATCGCGCTTCCTGCAGCAAGTTCCATTTCCAAGCTCTCAGCTGGTGTTAGATCAAACAGCTATGCTGCAAGCAACTTCAGCGATACTTTTAGACCCCCACTCACCTGGATTGTACGTTCTGACACTGACAGGTGAGACTTCTCTAGAATCCTACCTCCAGGCTACAATGTAGCCAAACGAACCCAGTATGCTCTATATAGCAGCAGCGATCATTCCTATTGCTGGCTGCCACGCTTCTTGGTGGGAGCTTTCAACTTGCGACGCACTTGCTCGCTGTGCGAGAGCTTGGACAAAGCTTCAACTCTGGCAGGGTTGGTGCGCCACCTAAGCTGTCACAGACTAGTTGACGAGAATCACATGTGGCAAACTGTGGAAAGAACTGGCCGATTAAGAATGGCACTGTGCACGGGCTGCAGCAATAGCCTCCTTACCGCTCATGCCGTCGGCCTTCAAAGCAGCAATGGCTTGCTTGAGGTGCTGGTGATATGCGCTCGTCAGAGCTGAAGGCTCCTCCCAGTGCTGTCAATTTGGAAAAGCAAGGTATATAACCTGATTTCTATGAAAAGGGCTGACCCAGAACTCACAAGTGCCTTTCACAAAAGATCATTGTAGTTGTCCAACAAGACTTTACCATATCGTGTGGCCCCTGCGCTCCTTGTCCTTGCGATCCTGCTTCTGAGTCTTCTCCTTGGCAGACTTCTTGCTCGCATTCTTCTTCTTGAGGTTGCCCTGCTTGGCCCGAAACTTCCTCTGGAACTCTCGAAAGCTCTGAGCTTTCTTCTTCTTTGTGACCTTGTTCTTCGCTTTGGCCTTGGGCTGCACTGTTCCCTTCTGAGCAGTCTTCGCCTTGGACTTGGCCTTTCTCTTTGGCGATTTCCCAAGCACTTCGGTGGGAGCATCCATGCTGTCCACCTGGGAAAGCTCCTCCTCCGAATCAAGAACGCTGTCCTCACCTTCCTCAGGCTCCTCAGCCTCAGCTCCATTCTCAGCACTCTCAGTCTTTGGCTTCTTGGGTTTCCCACCCTTAGGTGCTGCCTTGCCTTTTGATTTGGCTTTTGCCTCAGGTTTACCACCATCTCCACGGGTCTTTCCACGTCCACGGCCCTTTCCACGTCCACGGCCGTTTCCACGACCATGACTAGTCCCATCCGTGGGGAAAGATGCCTTCAGAGTCTTCACAGCTGCTTTGGCAGCACTCACCTCCTCGACCAATTTGGATTGATCTTCTCTACCCAACTTAGGGTTGCCTTCTGCTGGACGATTCCGATTGAGAGAGTATGAAGGAAGCTGCTTGGCTGGCTCGTTGAGAGACTCCACGGAGGCAGCGCCGGGTTCAGCAGACCTCTTTGGAGCAGCAGTCTTCTGAGCAGCAGTGGATGACTTCGGCAAGGGCAAAGGTGAAGGGCTCGGGGTACCCGATGCAACTGTGCGGGGTGCTGGGGACGGAGTCTGAGCTGAGCGAGGGTCTTGGTCCATCAGCACATCTAGGTCCTGCAGGAGGTTCCAACTATATATATTGATAATAATTATTATTATATATTGAAATTGTTAGTTTCAGCCATATGACACCATTCACCCAGTACCTAATCAGGCTTTGACACAAACAACGCTTTTGCGTTTCAAACCATGTTGAAACGTTCAGCCCTTGTCCGCTTTCAGACCATGCTGGGCCAGCATATCTGCAAGGCTCATGGCGTTGGGGACTATGCGAAAATGAGACAGGCTCGAATCAGGGAATCTTCAAAAGCAATTTGACACTGGGCACACTGCAGAGAATCGTTCATAGATTCAGCTCCCAACTCAGGTGAGCAACAATGTGAAAAGAACATGTTGGAAACAAACATTCATTGGTACACCTCTAAACTCAGCTGAGCAATGAAGAAGCGTAGACAGTAAAAACGTAGACAGAAAGCCAAATGCTCACATCCTGTTACTTGACGGAGTTACACCCACAGCAGAAAAACACAAAGAGCATGTTGTTTCCAGACTGGCGCCTCCGCCTTCGCGGAGCAGCTTAGCCACCTTCTCTTGTTTCATGAAGCTGCATTTTCCATGCATGATCAAGGGCTCCTTTGAAGGAATGGTCACTTCCATATGGGCCACCTGTCAGTGACAACACCCAAAGCAAGGACCTGACCTCCTGTTGCATTCAACACAGTTACCATGTGTCCATTCGTTTGAAGTAGTAAGGTCTATGTTCCTGTGAGGGTATAGACACTCCAGGTTTAAGAGCATTAAAACCAACTAGTGGAAAGTAACTTTGGGCATTCAGAGGCCAAATATGTTTACTATGCAAATGCAAGGAACGAAGAACAACTTGTACCGCTGGTCTGGTGCAATATCGACGGCATTGTTGTCTCGGGTCATGCTGTTGGTCAGGTAGAGTGTCCCCCCTGGAACTGATGCAGCGCATTTGGATTCGATCACATACTGGGCCAGGAGTTCATCCAAATTCTTCGGGTCGTTCTCCCAAGCCGGAAGCTCCTCCTCCACCGGCTCCGCAGGAACCATGGCACCATCCTCCTCCACAGCTGGAGCAACATTGAACCTGCAAGAGATTGGAGGAGAGGGCTGTTGGTGGGGAGGGCTGTTGGGATGTGGACCCTCAAACCCATAGTTTGCTCCTCAAACCTCAACACTGCAAGGGTGTTGGATCCCACCAACAAAGAACAAACAATTGGTTCCACAAGTATCCAAAGAACTTGCGGTCGAAGTCCAAAATCAGGTTCTTCCAATCTTCTGAGCGTAGTGCATCTTCAGCATACAAGAGACGCACAGAGTTCGGCAAGGAGAACCTGAATTTGGTCTTGCCAACACCGTTTGGGTTCTCAGTGACCTGGACGAACTTCATGGGGTAGCTGTCCAAAGATACAGCAGGCGTAGATGTTGGATCAGGATCATAGGGCCGGGACCCTTTGAAGATGCTTGACCCCCGCTTCCAGTCCTGCAGAACATTGACATAGACATCGTTGACATCGTATAGTAGACTCTTGGATGGAACACATGACAGAGATCTAAACTAAACTTTTAGGAATTAAAACAAAGTAAGAGTTGGTGTTACACTAGTCCTGCAACAACTCATGTCCAAGAACACGTTCAGAATATGCTACTGCATCACTGTTTGACCCGATGGAGAAGGTTCGAATATCTGGAGCAGCAAGGTCGTGGGTGGTCTTCCAACGAAGGCATACTCGCTCTAGGTGCGCATCATAGGGAGTAAAGTTCACAACCCCAATCAGGTTCCCAGAATTCTCAACGTTCGTCAACAAAGGCTCCAGCACAACAGTTGGTAGCATGGGGCCAGCCAACAGCTGGGCTGACTCCTGGACCTCACTGAGTGACCTCAGTGCTAACACCACTTTTGGACCAAAGGAGGTTGAGAGGAAACACACATAACGACATAATGACACTGGCCCTTGGTGTGACCCTTGTTGTGTCCCTTCAAACACTCAAGGAACCAAATGTAAAGATAAATGAAATTCAATCTCCCAAAAAGTTTCACTGTTTACTTCAAAAGGAACATTTTAAGAAACATCCAAGTGTCCGAGGTCCTTCGCTCGCTGATGGAAGTGAGTCTTTGCCACCAGAAGGAACAATATAATCTGACTCAACTGCAAGCTTGACATCGCCACGAGTCGACCTTGACAGGGTTTGTGATACTCAGTGCAATGCTCTTTCAAGGGTGAAAGCTGTTAGGTCTTTCGAGGGTTGGGTCTTTCGGGGGTCTTTATTAGGGCTGCTAAGTTGTTCG